GAACATGGCCATACAGCCTGGAAAACTCACAGCAGCCCAATGATTCTGGCCATGAAAGCCTTCGACAACACAATCCTATGTCATTCCACTTTTTTTAAATTCCCTGTTCCTATTTCTTTCTCTGACCTCAGTTTACTTGCACTTCTGCAAATTGAGACCCCATCTACACTGCCATCTAATGCAGTTTAACTGCATTGAACTGCTTTAATGAGTCTATACTGACCATATAATCCTGCTTGAAATTGCATTTTATGGCAGTGTAAATGGGTCTGAGTAAAAGATGAAGATGTACTTTGCGCTGAGCTCAGCAGAGGGGAGTGGAGAACAGGGGGAAGAATCTAACCCTTTACCCTAGGCTTAGTTTGTTATTCCTCATGAATAACTTTTGCCATCTTGATCACCCCATTTTATTCTTTGGCCACATGTGTCCCAGTATTAATCTCTGAAATGTTTGAGGGTATACTATTAGAAGGACTATTTAAAAAACAGAAGTGCAGGTCGTCTACTGATAGGCTTATTTGGGCTGCCCACAGTTAGAAAGATGTCTGGAATTATGGTTTTCAGTTTTCTATATTCAGGTGTTTCTCTCCTAGAGAATTCTCTTGAGCCTAGGCCTAAAGGGCCACAGCGAAGCTTTCCTCAGGCTTTAGGTACCTTTTCTGGATTATCTGAATCAGAGTCAACTTTTTAATATAAGTGGAAATACTGAGGGAAATGAGAGCTAGATGGGAAAGCATGCAGAGAGCATCCTATTAGTTTATGTGTCTCTCATTATACATGTTGTTCCTCTTCAAAATAATCCCATGACAGAAATGAATAATTTCTGAGGCTTTGCTAACAAGACTGTATTGAAAAGATCCAGGAAAATGTAGTGTTGGAGATGAAATGGGCAAGTTTGGGGAAAGGGGAGTTTCATGGAACCAAAATCTTTTTGTTTCCATTGTCTTGTTGGGAATTAATTTGAAGTGTTGGTTTCAATGTGGGAGTAAATTGTGTTGCTTTTAATGCGGGAGTGAAAAGATGATTTTTAAAACAAGGACTCACCTGCATTGTATAATTAATACAGTTCGACACCACTTTAGCTACCATGGTCCAATGCTGTACAATTATGGGAATTGCAGTTTGATGAGGCATCAACACTCTTTGGCAGAGAAGGCTAAAAGCTTTGTAGTAATACAACACCCATGATTCTATAGCATTGAGCCATTGGCAGTTAAAGTGGCTTCAAAGTGCATCAATTCCACAGGGTAGATGCACCTAAATTGGGAGGAATTCACCCTCCTCCATCCTTATTTCGAATCAATGCCTACTGTAATACTATATTGTGGCAAATGCTGTAGGGATTATTGGGTCTCTGTATAAACTGAGGTTCTATCCAGAATCTTACGAAGCCTCCCCTGCAGCTGTATATTACCACTGAAGATCGATAATGAAGAACAAGCTAGTTTCAGGGAAGCCTGTCATCAATTACTGATCTTCTCATTAAAGAAGTTTAATAAACTTCCAAGAAACCTCGGGGTTCCTTAGAATACAGCTGAAAAAGGAGTACTCTAAAGAAAAGAAGATTGATGAGCCATGTTAACAATTTCCAAGAATGTAAGATGGGAAAAGGAGAACAATATACCCTCTCAAGGAGAGCCAAAGTAGTATAGTAGCTTGAGCATTGATCTGCAACTTTGAAGGCCAGAATTTGAATCTCTGATTCAAAGATGACTCCGATCCAGTCTTGTCAAGAAAACTCCATGATATGTTCTCCTGAGGGTTGTCATAAATAAGAAATTATTTGAAAGCACACAACTTTAGCAACAATATCTTCTCAAAGCAGAATAAAATTAAGTAGTCTTTATAGAGGAGAAAAGGTTAGCTCATACTAGAAGGAATTTAGCTTATACTAGCTGTCCCCTGTCATGCGTTACTCTGGCCCAGTCTGGTGATCTGGAAAATAAAGTAACGAGAAAGTGTTGGTTTCTAATATATGTAATGTCTTTCTGCTTGTGGGTAAACAATATTTCTTGTTGTTTCTTTGTCAGTGTTGAAGGGAGATTGTCTGGTTTGTCCACCCTGGAACATCCAACATATAATTGTCCTTCTTTAGGGGGTCCCTTTCACATCTATGATACTATATCTGTGTGTGTGTCATATATATCTATCTATATATATGGCTGGGTGGCTCTTTGTCAGGAGGGCTTTGATTACGTTTTCTTGCCCTGGTGAAGGGAGTTGGACTGAATAGCCTTAAGTATTTTCTGTTGGTCATGGGGGTTCTGTGTGGGAAGTTTGTCCCAATTCTGTTGTTCGTGAGGTTCAGAATGCTCTTTGATTGTAGGTGAACTATAAATCCCAGTAACTACAACACCCAAATGTCAAGGTCCATTTTCCCCAAATTCCATCTGTGTTCATATTTGGGTATGTGGAATATTCGTGCCAAGTTTGGTCCAGATCCATCATTGTTTGAGTCAACAGTGCTCTCTGGATGTAGGTGAACTACAACTCCCAAACTCAAAGTCAATGCCCACCAAACCCCTCTAATGTTTTCTGTTGGTCATGGGAATCCTGTGCGCCATATTTGGTTCAATTCCATCATTGGTGGAGTTCAGAATGCTCTTTGATTGTAGGTGTACTATAAATCCCACAAACTACAGCTCCCAAATGACAAAATCCAATTTTTGAGTGATGGTCACTCCTTGGGTTAGTAGGTGTCTTGTAGCCAAATTTGGTGTCAATTCGTCCAGTGGTTTTTGAGTTATGTTAATCCTACAAAGAACGTTACATTTTTATTTATATGGACTAGCCGTTCCCTGCCACGTGTTGCTGTGGCCCACTCTGTGTATATGTGTTTTGAGTGTGTATATATGTGTATGTGTGGTTTTGCACATGCATTGTAATGTATTTTTTATTTTTTGCTTTTTTAAGTCTCTTCTGCTGTGTTTTTCAGTGTTTTTATGAGTGATGGTCACTCAATGGCCTGATACATATATTGTGTCCAAATTTGGTGTCAATTCATCTAGTGGTTTTTGAGTTATGTTAATCCCACAAACAAACATTACATTTTTATTTATATAGATTAGAAGGAATTTGATCTTTCAAAATTCCTATATGAAATGCCCCAAATTGCACTTCTTAATTACTGCAACATACGTGGATGGCCAAGGAA